ACTAATTACCAGAGAAATGCAAATCAAAACTATAATGAAGTATTACTCCACACCAGTCAGAATGGCCATTATTTAAAAGCCCACAAGTGATAAATGCTGGAGAAGGTGTGTAGAAAAGGAAACCCTCCTACACTGTTGGTAAGAATGCAGTTTGGTGCAGCCATTATGGAAAACAGTTTGCAGATTCCTCAAAAAACAAAAAATAGACTTACCGTATGATTCAGCAACCCCACTTCTGGGTGTATACCTGAAGGGAATTCTAATTTGAAAAGATACAAGCACCCCAATGTCCATAGCAGCACTATATACAATAGCCAAGACATGGAAACAGCCTAAATGTACAACGACAAATGACTGGATAAAGAAGCTGTGATATATTTATACCATGGAATACTATTCAGCCATAAAAAGAATAAAATAATGCCATTTGAAGCAACATGGATGGTCCTGAAGATAGTCATTCTAAGTGAAGCCCAGAAAGAGAAAGAAAAATACCATATGATATCACTTATATGTGGAATCTGAAAAAAGAAAAAAGATGACACTAATGAACTCATCTATAAAACAGAAACAGACTTGCAGTCAGAGTAAACAATCTTATGGTTACCAGGGGGAAAAGGTGTGGGAAAGGATAAATTGGGAGTTAGAGATTTGCAAATATTAACTACTATATATAAAAATAGATTTAAAAAATTTCTTTTGTATACCACAGGGAACTATATTCAATATCTTGTACTAACCTATAATGAAAATGAATATGAAAATGAATATATATATATTTATGCATATGTATGACTGAAACATTATGTTGTACACCAGAAATTGACACATTATAACTGAGTATACTTCAATAAAAAAAATTTTCCAGTTACATGTGTGGGTCCCAAAATATTTCCACTGAACAGAGCTGCAATGTTTCTTAAACTATATACTATATAAAACTATGTAACAATATGTATACATGACAAAAGGATTCCATAGTTCAATAATTTGGGAAACATTGTCTATTATATCCTCTTCTTGGTGCATTCTGTAGGACAGTAATGTGGAAAACTTGGGGGAGAATTTGATGAATTAAATATATTTGGGAAATGCCAAGTTAAGCATAGAGGACTTCTCAGGGCTCTCAAAATTATGAGAATTGTGATTTTCCAAGAGATGCTTCTTGAATGCAGCATTTCTCCAACATATTCAACCAAAGAAACTTTTTCATCATGAATACAATACTCACTGACACAAAACTGAAGGACAGTTTAGGGAACTTGTTTTATTGCACATTGCTTTATTTCTCTTTGCAGATACTGCGTTTTTTACAAATTGAAGGCTTATGGCAACCCTGCATCAAGCAAGTCTATCAGTACAATTTTTCCAACAGCATTTTCTCTCTTTTGAGTCCCTGTCTCACATTTTTAAAATTCTCATAATATTTCAAACTTTTTCATTATTATTATATGTGTTAAGGTCATTTGTGATCATTGATCTTTGATGACTATTGTAATTATTTGGGGGTAGAGTGAACAGCGCCCATATTAGACAGCAAACTTTATAAATAAATGTTGCATATGTTCTGACTACTCCACTGACTGGCTGTTCCCCTATCTCTCTCCTTTTCCTCAGGTCTCCCCCATTGCCTGAGAAACAACGATATTGAAATTAGGCCAATTAATAATCTTACAACGGCGTCAGTGTTCAAGTGAAAGGGTCACGCATCTCTACTTTAAATCAAAAGCTAGAAATGGTCAAGCTCAGTGAGGAAGTCATGTCAAAAGATGAGATACGCTGAAATCTAGGCCTCTTGCACCAAACAGTTAGCCAAGTTGTGAATGCAAGGGAAACGTTCTCAAAGGAAATTAAAAGTGCTTCTCCAGGGAAGAGAGGAGTGATAAGAGAGCAAAATGGCCTTCTTACTGTTATGGAGAAAAATTTAACAGTCTAGATAGAAGATCAAAGCAGACACATTCTCTAAGTCAAAGCCTAACCCAGAGCAAAGCCCAAACTCTCTTCAATTCTGTGAAGGCTAAGAGAGGTGAGGAAGCTGGGGAAGAAAAAGCTGAAGCTAGCAGAGGTTGGTTCATGAGGTCTAAGGAAAGAAGACATCCCCATAATGTAAAAGTGTGAGATGAAATGGCAGTTCTGATGTAGAAGCTGCAGCAAGTTATCCAGAAGATCTGGCTAAGATAATTAATGATGTTCTAAACAACAGATTTCCAATGTAGATGAAACAGCCTTTCATTGAAAGAAGATGTCACCCAGGACTTTCAGAGCTAGAGAGTAGAAGCCTTCCTTCAAACCTTGAAAGGACAGGCTGACTCTCCGGTTAGGGGTTAATGCAGGTGGTGACTAAGTTGAAGCCAATGCTCATTTACCATTCTGAAAATCCAAAGGCCCTTAAGAATTTACTTAATTTACCCTGCCTGTGTTCTATAAACGGAACAACAAAGCCTGGCTGACGGCATATCTGTTTCCAACATGATTTACTGAATATTTAAAGCCCACTGTTGAGAACTACTGCTCAGAAAGAAAGCGTCCTTCCAAAATATTACTGCTCACTGACAATGCACTTGGTCCCCCAAGAGCTCTGATGGAGACATACAATGAGATTAATATTGTTTTTGTGCCTCTTAACATCCATTCTGCAGCCAATGGATCAAGGAATTAATTCTGCTCCCACACAGATACTAACTACTATATATAAAATGGATAAATAGCAAAGTCCTACTGTATAGCACAGGGAACTATATTTAATACCTTATAATAGCCTATAATGAAAAGGAATATTACAGAAATCTTAAAATCCCAACTCTTTATATCAGTTTAAAACATTCTGATCCTACAAGGCATTATTCACTTCTATTTCGTTATGATACATATTATCTTATATTTTTACCTAATGCAAAATAAGTGAAAAAAGGAGTAATTTTGACTCTCAAGTCTTACAAGTTAAAAAATACATTTTGTGAGCTCCAGCTGCCATAGATAGTGAGTCCTCTGATGGATCTGAGCAAAGTAAAACCTTCTGGAAAGGATTTGACATTCTAGATGCCATCAAGAACATGCTGAGGGCAGCTGAGGCAGGCTAAACCCAGGGAAATATCACAGTGGGAAGGAGCCTGAACAGAGTGGAACCAAGCTAGGGTCACTTGAGATGCAGAAGCTTGGGAGAAAGAAGGAGGAATAAGAACAGGAAAAGGAATAGGAAGAAAATAGGTAAGAATTTGAGGGCAAAAAAACCAGAGTAGGCTATGCCTCTGTCTTTGCTTAAGGAGGGAGCTTTGTTCTTACAATGAATGAATGAATGCAAACAATAAATGAATGCAAAGTTAGTTCATGCTTCTGCCTGTTAAAGAGACTATGACATGGCCAATTAGTTGCTTCACTATTCTAACAGAGTATAGCCCCACTGTACATAAACCATCTTGAATTATGTAAGCTGCTCTATAATGGAGCTTATTAATATGGTTTCTGGGCTTGAGCGCAAGTTTTTCTTCTTGTAAACTGAAATCAAAACAGTATGGTTTCATTGTAAATAATGGGTTCTTAAATGGGTTTGAACTTTGGCAACGACCAATATCAACATTTACCTTAGAGGTAATCAGGATAAAGGAGAATCTGGTAAGTCACAGGAGAGGAGGAAGAGGAAAAGAAAGGCAGGCTGGATGAGGGAGTCTCTACACCGAGGCAAATGACCCAGCTCACTCCTCTCACTGGTAGGGAACTACCATCACTCTGTGCTTGTGAGCCACTATCACTTTGTTTTTTGGCCCCTGTAAAATTTTCTTTTACCTTCAAATTCCTGAATTTGAATTGACAGCTTTTGGCAGAAGTACAGGGACACAGTTCCTTCCCTGGTGACACGTGTCCCACTGCCCTGCCATCTCCCTCCCTTCTTCAAGCCTATGATTCATGGCATTTTCATGGTCTTGTGAGTGGAGATGGAGGGAAATGGGCTTCCAAGAGAAATACTGAGGCTTTATTAGCATCAATAGGTTGGGCATCTACAGAGGGCATTAAAAGAATTCAAGGAGTAAAAGATAAGACAGGTTTCCTTCTGCAAGTGAAGCACTAGTTTACAGAAGCTGCTCTGTTTGCAGACATGTTCCTCCAGCTGCTCTCTGTCTCTTTAAGGTCTGCTCCTATTTCTGAGAGCTGAGCTAAGTATGTATTCTTCTTAGGACAGACCACCATA